CCAAGCAGGAATGCAGGTTTGTACAGCAGATAAACAACACTTACCACATCCAACAGCAGAGACACATGACCCAGCTCGAGCTTTCCATCTGCCTGAGGTTCTGTTATTGAGTAAGAATAGACATCACCAGACTTGTCTGCAACGAAAATCTTATCCTCTGCAGCTGTAATAACCAGGGCTGTGCACCTCCTGTTCACAAACCTGAAAGAAAAACGGCACAGCTTGAACAGCTCTGCAGGACAGACTCTGCAAGTCTGAAAGTCAAGCACACCAAGACACTGGACAAAAAAAAAGCTCTCAACTGCAACATTCTTGAAACTGCAGCAATGAGAATAACATTATGGGGCTGAAACAGCACTTTTGAGAACTAGTAAATGTCTGAACTATGTAATAACAAACACCTGGGGGATTAAAAAAAAGGAGGTCATTAAAAGCTGCATGACTGCATTCTGCTTTGGTACTTACTCAACTGAGCACTTGGCCCAGGCAGCATGCCAGGACTCTAAGGAAGGCCAGGGATCTTTCTTGCACTCTCCATAATAAAAATACAAGTTCAACACGTAGAAAAGACAAGGTAGGATCTGTCCTTTGGAGCAACACGTTTAAAAACTGCGTACAAACCACTTTTCCAGTTGCCATTTTGTGCTGTGAAAAGAAGCCCTTCCTCACATCCTGATTTAGAGTCACAGTCTCAGGGTACCTTGTCCAGGCAAAGCCCTGAGCTTGAACTCATCATCTGCCAGCATCTTAAAGTTCCAGTTGCCAGTGGAGCAGGTAACAGTTTCCTTACAACTGCTCAGATAAAGGACCACACATGCCACAAAACTTATGTCCTGTTTGCTAACACAGGACTGTGGACACCAAGGACCATGTGGAATGGACATTTATATTCACCCACTCTGAAATTCAGTGACCACCTGGAAGCAAAAGAACCCAATATACTACACTTCAGGTAGGAAGACAGAAATTCTAATCATTTTTAGGGGCTGTTTAAAGGAACACCACAACAGTGGGAATAGCAGAGGACAAGACTGCCTAGTACCACACTGCAGGCTCAGGCAACACAGTTCCAAAACAGGTTACCTTGCCAACAAGAATAAGCCTTGCTCCAAAGTCACTGTTCTACCTGGGATCTTAAGCACAAAGATTCAAAAGTTCCCCCTTTGTCTGAAATGAGCTGACTACCAAAGGCAGCACCACGTGAAGCTTATACAGCATGCCACAAAACACAGATGGAAGTTACAGAGCTCAATTTTGGCATTCCTTTATCCATGCAGAGAGTCTTTAGCTTGTTTCCCAGTTTCCTAACAGGAGGTAATGACGTTCCCAAAAAAATCCAGCTGTGGTCCTAGTTGACCTTTCAGCAGAAACGAAACCACCAAACAATTATCCAAGGGCACGTGACAGGCATGACACACAAGGCAGGGCAGCAGGGAAGGCAGAACACAGAACGAACGGAATTTGCAATTTCTGGCTTTGTCACAGAATATCCTGAGCTGGATGGGACCCACAAGGATCATCAAAGTCCTGCTCCTGACCCTGCACCTTGAACTCTGCCAGGCTTGGCGCTGCGACCACGGCCCTGGGGATCCTGCTCCAGTGCCCAACCACCCTCTGGGGGAAGAACCTTTTCCTAATATCCAACCTGAACCTCCCTGACACAGCTTCGTGCCGTGATTCACTGTTTAACCCACCAAAGGTCCATCCTGTACCCTACACACACAGCCAAGCTACAGACATTCCATTCTGGTTTGCAACCAGGGCCTCACGTTTGTCAGAGACCACCAAAGGCAGAGTTGTCACATCCTCAGCTACTTTCTCAGAAAGCCCTTCGTGGTCTTTTTTTTTTTTCTTTTACAGACAATTGTCACAAGCAGCAGCAGAAAACTTGTAACTGGAGGACCTCTGGTGGACAGCTGCAGGCTGTTTCCTCCAGAGGAATGCACAGAAGGGAAACAGCTGCAGCACCTCTAAAGATGTGCTTTAAAAAAACAGTCACAAACTCCCCAAAACAGACAATGAACTCACTGAACTGCTCAGTATCACTATTACAGACCCCAATCTTAAGTGTTGACTAGGAGTGGGTAAAGTTTCAGTTCTTAAAGATACAAATACTGTCTTTCGGAATAAGAAAAGAGATTATCCTTCCTTGGCCAGTGATATAAATATCTGCAATCCCACTCTTGGTGTGGGGCTGATCACGCATCATTTCTTGACAAAAATCTCTGAACACCCAAAAACATTAAATTCTTTTGAGCAAGGGAATTAAAAAAAAGAAAAAAAAAAAAAAAGGCTGAGTGATAACAAATATCAACATCCCAAGTACTCCTGTTTTAGAACCCTGAATCAACCAGCCTTAACTCCGTAACAAAGTGACGTGCAACATCCCGCTGCCTTACCTGACGCTAACACATTCCCAGGAAGGCTTTGTCTGGAACAGGATCAGACGTTTGTTGTCATCTGTCAAGGCAAAATAATCCCCTGATGGGGAGAAGGCAAAAGCCAGGATGTCGTCAGTTCCTTTATCTGTTGCTTTTCCATCCTGCCTAATAGAGAGAAGGGGAACAGTTCACAACAAGAGACACCAAAGTCCTTGAGAAGGTTGTTCCTACACCACCACGAAGGCTCGTGAAGCCTTCGAAGCAAAACCCTAAGAAGTTTTATTTATGCTTAAAAGGCTCAGCCAATTTGAACATTAATACAAAGAAAAAAAGCCAAGGAAAAGAAGACTGATACAAAGTCTAAGCCTTGCATGAATACCTGCTTAAACAAACAAACAAACCATGCTAGGGTTTGTGCTATCAGAGCTTGATTCAAAGTTGGGTGAAATCAGTAAAACTGCTAAAACAGGTAAACAGGTAAAATCATGTCCAGCAGTTGAATCTAAACTAGAAATACCTTTTCAGTTTTGAACTCTCATGACTTAGAGAATGGACCTGAAGAAGTTATGTAACTGTTTGGGGCGGGGGGGTGGTCTGTCTTAGATGGTTTAATGAAAAATGCAGCATTTTTACATGAATGTCTTGAATGAGAACAGTTACTGAGATTCATTTACTACAGAATCACAGAATGGTTTGGGTTGGAAGGGACCTTGAAGATTATCTCATTCCAAGTCCCCTGCCATTTGGGCAGGGAAACTTTTCATTAGACCAGGGTGCTCAGAGCCCCATCCAGCCTGGCCTTGAACACTTCCAGGGATGGGGCATCCAGAGCTTCCCTGTACTACTGGTGTTTCCCTGAAAAAGGAATACAGTGTCCCCTCTGGAATGAAACAAAGAAAAGCACGCCTACAAATCCATCAGGGTTAGCAAAACCAACCCATCACCTGCTCAAGGAGTTGCCCTGTGACTCTCTGATTGCTTCCACCACCTCATGAGGAGATGGCCCCTCCAGGAACACCGAGACTGCCAGAGCAGATTTCCTCACCCATTATCTCCCGAGGTCTTCTTCTCCGCGCTGGCACAGTCGTACACGAAGAGACTCTCACCACTGCGAGGAGAAAACGAGAGTAAACCCACTGGGACCAGAACAGCCATGAGCTTAACTACGAAGGGTGGCAACTCTTTTGGAAGGTGCTCTTATTTCACGGTTACTTGCACAGCTGACCCCCCCCCCCAAGGGGGCTCCCACAGGGCTACAGATTTGGTCAAAGCTTAAAAGCCTGTATTGCACACAGATGCCAAAAAAGAAATCATCGTCTGCTGGCAAAGTAACCCTGCATTTCACATATATTTCACTTGTGTCTGACACATCTGTCAGCAGCATTCACCCAGTCACAGGATCACAGAATTGCCAGGGTCGGAGGGGACCTTTGGAGATCACCCAGTCCAAGGCAGGGTCACCTGGAGCAGGTAACACAGGAACTCGTCCAGGTGGGTTTGGGATGTCTCCAGAGAGGGAGACTCCATGCCCTCCCTGGGCATCTGTCCCAGTGCTCTGCCACCCTCAGTGTAAAGAAGCTCGTCCTGATGTTGAAACAGAACTTCTTGTGTTTTATTTTATGGCCGCTGCTCCTCGTGCTGTCGCTGGCACCACCGAAAAGAGCCTGGCACCAAACTCTGACACTCACCTTGGAGATGTTTATGTGCATCTTACTCACAGACATGAAATACGCAGTTTATATTTTATATATCTTTTATATTCATATTTTATATGTGACTCTTGGGGATGGTCCCGTGAATGGCCATGAGCTCAACTGGATGTTCTTGTGGGTGCCTTCCAACTCAGCATATTCTCTCATATATATAAATATAGATATATACACACACACATTGATATACATTATATGTGTATATATATTATATAATTGTATATTATCGCATGTTCTGCTACGTATATTCTACACATTTATCACTATATATATAATCTATGTTATGTGCATATACGTATATGATACATATATGTGTATATATGTATACACCTATATGTTATATATGTGTATATATGTACACATACATAAACATACACATTTATATGTGTGCATACATACATGCATGTAGGTAACACATACGTAATCAATATGTTACACAGAGCCGCTCGCACAGCAGTGACCGGCATCTGGTGGAGGAAAACCGTGAGAGTGTAAAAAAGTTTAAAAGCCAGGTCGCGGCAGCAGAAAACGCCGACAAGGAGAGCGGGAAAGCCACAAAGAAAGCAGCGCGGGTAGCGGCCCCGGAGCTCTCCCTTCCCCTCCCAGAGCAGGGCACACGCACGGCCGGACAGGCCCCGCCGCCAAACCCGCCCCGCACTGACCCGTGCTCCCCGCGCCGCGCCGCCAGCAGCCGCCCCCCGCCGCTGGCCACCATCGCGGCCCCGCGGAGCGCCAGGGCCGGGCGGGCCGCGGGGCTGCGGCCGCCGGCGGTGCCTCCATCGCGGGCGTTTCCATCGGAGCCTCCGTCGGTGCCTCCATGGCCGGCGGCTCCTTCTCCTCCTCCTCCCTCAGCGCCCGCCATGCGCCCGCGCCGCCGCCGCGTGCGCCGTGACGTCACCCGGCCCCGCCCACCGCCCCGGGGGGCGGAGCCGCCGTGAGGGCAGCCCGGGCAAGATGGCGGCGGCGCTGAGGGGCGGCGGGAGGGCGGTGGCGCGACAGGTACAGCGGGTTATCAGCACAGCTCTTTTTATCTCCCCCCCGGCTCTAAATCCACTCAGTTCGGGGCATTCCCTCCCGCTTTCTTAATTCCTGTTGTGTTCGCGGCCCGCAGGTGTTGCGGCTGGAGGCGCGCGGGCTCTGCACGAAGCCGAAGAAACCAACCGGGACGGCGGCGCCGCCGAAGAGTAAGAGGGTTCCTTTTGGTTCCGAGCGGTGTCGGGGTGTCAGTAAAAGGGATGGGTGAGGAGAGGGTGAGGATGGTCGCGCCTAGAGAGAGGTGCTACGTGAGCTGGGAAATCCAGGGAGTGGAAGGTCACCGCCGTGTAAACAAGGGTTTCTGATAAAGCGTTCAATATAGTAAAAGTAAACGTAAGAGTACAGTACAGTATAAAGTAAAAAGTACAGTAAAAATAAAGGTTTTGTAGGAACATGGATATGTGGGATATATTTCTGTTTATATGTATTTTTTAATAAATAATATAAATGCATATATATTTATATTTGTGACTTTGACAACTTCTTTCCTGTTTGCCTTCACCGTAATACTCCAGGCCGGGCTGGATGGGGCAATGTCAAACCCTGCATCGTGTTCTTGGGGGGAATGGCTTCAAACTGACAGAGAGGAGGTTTAGGTTGGATATTAAGGAGAAATTAATTACTGTGAGGGTCAGGAGGCCCTGGCACAGGTTGCCCAGAGAAGCTGTGGCTGCCCCATCCCTGGAAGTGTCCAAGGCCAGGTTGGAGCAGCCTGGGATAGTGGAAAGTGTCCCTGCCCATGGCAGGGGGTTGGAACTGGATGATCTTTAAGGTCCCTTCCAACCCAGACCATTCTGTAGTTTTATGATACATTAATTGCTGTGATGCCTGACTAGACTTAAGGAGAGAGTTAATTACATTTGTCTTAATATAAAGAAGCTTTTGCAAGCTGCCTGAAATTTGATAGAAAAGAATGTTAACACGTCACTCTTTTTAATGAGGTGCAGAATCTGGTTTTCGACTTGTAGATGTTCGCCCTTGTCCTTTGAAATGTTTGGATTATCAAAAGTTAAAAGGCAGAAAGAGTTGCACTATACAAATACCAGCTGCAGGCAGCAGGTTGAGAAGCTGCCACAGCACTGCTGTGTTAAATTTGGTTATAATGCTTCCTGCCCCCATGGTTCCTGGTTTTCCAAGCAGGGCAGTGCCTGACCCTGGGTTTGGACGCTGCACTGCATTCCACATTCAGGAGTCCTTTTGTCCCTGACCAAAGTCAGAACAGGAACACAAATTTCAAACAAGGGTGTCTTGCACAAAATGCTGTTTTTAAGTGGAGGTGCACTGGTTCAGTGAGGATTCCTGTCCCAAATTGGAGATCCAGGGTTTTAAAAAGGAAAGCTTCATGGAACCATAGGTAGGAGTGGCCAGGCTTGTTGGCTGCTGTTGAAAGGATCACTGAAAGAGTTGAATGCAGACTTCTGGCATCCTCTTAAAAGCAAATAAAAGCTTTGCTGTTCCATTAAGAAAGCCTTCACTGCGTAGATTGATATAACCTTCATTGAACAGCAAATTGCTTTTTATTAGAATTTAATTTTTTTGCATTAAGTGTATTTGAGATGTACCTCAGTATCTGCTTCTGGGTTCACTGTCCTGCAGCTCCAGTTTGTGTCAGGAGACTTTTTAGGCCTCCTCTTCTGGCTGCTTCCCCTGCAATCGCTTCAGGTTAATTAAGATGGAAAGGATGCAGCTGCCTTTTCCAGATTCTGGCTGGGACAGGATGTGCAAATTGTCCTTGCTTTGATAAAATGGTCAGGTTTACAGACAGAGCCAGTGAAGGGAAATAGAGCTGTCCTTTCTGCCTGTCACCTCTCCGAGTGAGAACGTGCTTTAAACACGTTCTGGTGACGATGCTGATGTTATACAGGCATCAGGAAGAATGCATCTGGGAATGATCCTCCTGTTACTGAGCTGGATGTGTTGTTCTTCTGGCAAAGTGATGCAAATACAGATCAGCTGGTGCGAAGTTTGGAGTGCCCTGACTAAAGTGTCTGTATCAGTTGTATTACGTGTTTCAGCTTTTAATCATAAAGTCTGTCTTTTAAAATACTTAAGCTTGGATATATGAAAGTATTTGTACAGTAACACCTACTGTTAATAGGCAAGTTGAGTGTCACCTGCCTTCTTGGTTTCTTAGGATCTTTTAACGTTAATAATTCTTCAGCTTTTGCTCAGCTTTCCCTTGCCTGCCCTCCCTTTGGCCAGTCTTGTGTTAGTTTGGTCTCCCTGTTTGCTTCCTTGAAGAACTCTTCAATCCTGAGTGATGCTTCCTCACATGTTAGTTCCTCCAGGCTGCTGTTTGGCTGGGCCAGGCTGTGCAGGGAGTCAGACCTCTTCCGAAGGTGGCTTCCCATCCTCCTGCTTCCCCCTGCTTTTCCTTCCTGCCCTGCACCTTCCATCTGACAGAGAGAAGTATGTGCTTGGAATTATTCCAAATATTACCTGTAGAGTAAGCTTGATGCTTTTCTTCATTTGTATTTCAGTTATGATAAAACTTATTTCTTTCTTGAGTGCTTTGCTTTTAATTTCATGTGTCTGTCTTTTCTGTGGTGTTTTCATTTGGACATTGCTAAAGACTCGCTTCTGTTCAGAGCTATGTGGTAATAACTCCTTGAATCACACAAGGTATTACTGTAAAATACTAGTGAGGGGAAAACTGCATCTAGTTTATGGTCTTACAGAGTAGATCTGGGTTTCCAAACTGTGCAGATAAATCTGCGTAGCAGGCTGGAAATCTGTTGGATTACACTGCTGGTTGGAAGTGGTGCTGCTCATAACAGAGTTGGCCTCACTGTAACCAATTTCAGCCATGGTGAATCTTCTCAGTGTGCTCCCAGTCCTCTTTGTGCTCCTGTTTTCTGTAACCACAACAGTATTTGCTGTTGCTCAGCCTCTTGAGGATGATATTGGCACAAGCATCCAAGGGGTCTGAAAGGGCCTGAAAATTGCTGCTTTCTCTTCACCTGTTGACTCCTTGTCTGGAGAATTTAGCTTATTGCAAGTATCCATGAGAGAGGAGAGAGAGACAGGCAAACATGAAACATCAGGAGATCTTCTAAGCCTTGTTTTACAGAGAGGTCTCAAACCAAAAATAGGAAGTGATAAAGTCTTGGGGAAATGATGTTAAACACAATTCAGTTGGTAGGTCGTGTGGGCAATGAACAAGTAATACAGCCGTGTATGGCCTCAGGTATCTCTTATTCCTCTACTTTGCCTTTTGGGAGTCCTCCCTCCCTTCTGCTTCCAGGGTAACTGTTGCCAGCAGCTGCTGCTGTGTCTTTACTGTGTCTTTTGTTTGGCTGGCTTGTTCACACACAAGTTTTGTCTCTGCAGCAGCGTATTTGAAGAGCCATCTTAACACTCACCTGAGGTAGGGAGGGGTCTGCAGACCACTTCAGTGATGCAGAGTTGAAGCACAGGGAAAACCAGCTGCTTGGCAAAGGAAGGAGCGTAAGGATTTATCCCATGAGTTTCAGCATCGCAGCAGCAAAAACTGTTAAGTGCTACTAGAACTCCAGCTTCTTTAACTTAGAATGTCTTAAACTTTCTGCTTCGCAGTGCCTGCATTTAGTATAACAATCCCTTTCACTTTATTTTTGTGCCAGATTGTCTTGGGAAGTTTGAACTGTGTGACTGAGATCACTGAGTAACAGGAGTGTGGGATATAATGATGATAATCCTCTTTATGCCGTTTCCCAGATGTAGTGGCTCCACAGGGAAGCACCAAGCTGCTTGCCATCAAGGCACCAGGTGAATTTCCTAAAATGTTGTCTTCTAGCTCTCCCCTGTTGTCCACAGACAAAGGTGAGAGCGTATCTAGTACCAGCCTCGAGGAAGCTTCAAAACCTGCCGAAGACACGAGGAGGTTCACGTCAAGAAAAACTGTGGTTGCATTTCCTCAGCGAGGAGTTGTTGCCTCCCCTGAGGAGGAAAACCTCACTGCACCTGCAACAGGAGGCTGGAGGAAAGAGTTAGTCGAGGAACAGACTTCGTCTTCATCCAGCTCAGAGTCAGATTCTAGCTCAGATTCTGAGGAAGAAAACGAGGATTCACGAGTGGCTGTTAAAACTAAAGTTGAGTTTCCTAAGCGAGAGCCCATCTTTTCTGAGAACATAGCAGTAAAGGCATCAATGCTAGCAAAAGAGAATTTGTTCCAGAAATCCCACAAAGAGTATGGACTTAAGAAGCTGCCACGCCAACCGGAAATAATTGTGTCTCCTGTAAAGCAGGTCAAATTTTCTAAAACATCAGTCAGACAGGAAGCATCAAAATCCAAAGCAAGAGACCCCAAAGTGAAATCCACTCCAAAAGCAGCAGATTGGCAGAAGTTGGTCTTAGAACCAGGTGTGGTGGGAAGCCAGGACCAGACCGGTGTCACTCATAAACCTGATTATTTGGAGGAAAAGTCCATCGGAACCCAAGTAGCAGCAATTCAGCTGAAAACTTCAGCAGCTACTCAGGAAGACAAAGAGCAAAAAGTGGTATCCAGGGAAGAGAAGAGCAAGGTGAAGGAGGCACAGGAGTCAGAAGCAAAAGAAGTAACTGGTCCTGAAGTGGAAGAGACTTCTGGAAGCACAGTGTTGGTGATGGGCACCACGGCAAAGGAGGAGACCGCTCAGGAAGCAGGAGCCCAGGCTGGAGAAAGCAGCACAACAGAGGGTACAACTTTAAATTGTTTGAACTGTATTGATTCATCTGGGCTAGGGTTTGACTTTTTTTAAAGGGTTTCCACATCTTCTCTGATCTTTATGCTGAAGCTGGCAGTGCAGCAGTGACTTTCTGGAGGATAAATTGTTGTTCTTTGCTAATTGTTATGAGCTGTCAGTAATACTCAGTTTCCAGCTATGCTCTGAAAGGAAGCGGTTTCATTTCTCTGTATTTATAGTTTCATAAACCAGTTACTTATAAAATGAAAACAAGATTGTTTCCACTGTGAGCAAAATCATGGGGTTTATGTGACAAAACTTGTTTTCACTCTTCTCTTTTCTCGGAAGTATTTGGTAGCTGCCTTTCTCATGAGCTGAATTTGATGCCATCTGAGTGTTGCTTAAACCCTGCTGTCTTTCTGGGTTTGTTTTGGTTTTTTTTGCATTAGGCTTTGGTGTTTGGTTTTTTTTTTTTTCATGTTTTCAGTGTTTCAGATTTCAGCAGACTTCAGGAAATCATAGTATAGTGCCAGAAACAGGTGTTGATTCTGAGACTGGAAGGTTGTAAGTAACTAGTGTGGAAGCAGTTGAGTTAGCTTTTGTAAAGAGTTGGGAGGAGACAGCAGTATGTTTTCAGGAAAGACCATTGTGCATCCTTAGCTTTGCTTCCCTACCTAACTTACATTTCTTATTTACTACTATCCTGTTAACCTTCCTACTGATCTCATTTTGTGTTTTTCAGTGGCACGTGCCCCTCTTTCCTGATCTATCACAGTCACCATTCTTGCCCTTCAACTTAGGCACTATATAAATGCCATTCTTTAAACCCCTCTTCTCGCTGCTACTTTGAATTCAGAGTTTGCCTACTTGGAAGTAAAAACAGAATAACTGTAAAGCTGCTGGGATATCATCCTTCAAGTGATATCCCTGAGGGAAAGGCCCTGGGGGTCCAAGGGAACAGCAAGTTGAAGGAGAGCCAGGAATGTGCCCTCTCAGCAAAGGGCACCGAGGGTGACCTGGGGTGTGGCTGAGGGAGCTGCAGCTCCTTCTTGGTGAGGGGCACCTGGGGTGCTGTGTCCAGTCTGGGGCTCCCCAGCACGAGGGAAGATGTGAGCTGCTGGATGGAGTCCAGCAAAGTGCCATGGAAATGGTGAAGGGACTGGAGTGTTTCTCCTGTGGGGAAAGGGGAGATCTGGGACTGTTCAGCCCAGAAGAAGAAGGTTCAGACAGAATATCATCAATGTGTAAATGCCTGAAGGGAGAGTGCAAAAAAGGCAGAGGTCAGACTGTTGAGTGCTACACAGTGATGGGACAAGAGGCAGTGGGTACAAACTGAAACAGAGTTTTGCCTGAACATCAATGAACACTTTGTTTTTACTGTGAGAGTGGTACAACTCTGGGCACAGGTTGCCCAGCGAGGTGAGGGACTCTCCATCCTTGGAGACACTCGGAAGCTGTCTGGATGTGGTCCTGGGCATCCTGCTCTAGCTGAGCCTGCCTGAGAATTTGGGTTTGGACCAGATGACTTCCAGAGGTGTCTTCCAGTTTCAACCATTCTGTGACTCTGAAGTGTCTAACCAGGTTAAGTGACAAATAATTGCTTTTGTACATCAGTTTCCAGGAGATAGTGCTGAGTAAAAGACCTGCCTTCTGTTTTAAGAGGTTTGTTGGCTCTTAATTTGATCTCTTTGCTTACCTTCTTCCCTGATGGTAACTGAAACAACTGGATGTGGCACTCAGTGCTCTGATCCAGTTGACAAGGTGGTGATCAATTTAAGGTTGGACTCAATGATCTCAGAGGTCTTTTCCAACCTAAATGATTCTGTGATTCAAATAATAAAATGCAGCACTGTTTGCAAATGATATTTTAATTTGCTTGTTCCTCCTTGCAGTCAGCAGCAGAAACTTTCTTTAAAAAATTAAAGAAAATAATTGGTAAGGGCTATTTGGATTTATCTCCCTGTTCATCCACAGTGGAATTCTAGATTCTCAAGCATCTTTTTTTTTACTTCCACGTTGAAAAAAATACAAAGACACAAAAAATTAGTTCCATTAACTTCAAGTTGACTTGGTCTTAAAATGTTCTAATTATTAAAAGTGCAGATTATGACACATTGCAGATCTATGAAACACCCTCCTCTACTCTGATACTGTAAATCCAGAATAAGATTAGGCCCACGAGACAAACGTTTCCTGCAGATCTGTGTCGGTGGGGCAATGATCCCACTGTGCCTCAGACCCATCATCACCACTGCACCAGCAAAAGCCTTTTGGGTAGGGCTGGATTTGCTGAAAAAGGCACTTTTGCTGTTGAGCTTCTCCTGCTTTGTGAAGGTGGTCAGGCTGTGGCAGCAGGGAAGTGTGTGCTGGGTGGTGCCAGAGGAGTGACTGCAGTGGCTGTTGGAGAGCTGGGGGTTGGTACAGGCAAGGTCACCCCCCTTTACTGCTGGTGGGATGTCTGAGGGTTCCAGAGGGTTCCAGGTCAAATCCAGCTACACTCTGTTCAAAACCAGCGCTGTTGTCTCCAGATACATCCTCTTCTCTCTTCCTTCTTTGAGAACATCCTCTGCTTTTCCGTGTTTAATGTTCACAGCTAACGATACCAACCTGTAATTTGTGCTTCTGTCCTGTCCATGTGCTTGTTTGCTCATCTCCAATCTCTGCAGCAGGCACAGGGAAGACATAAAAGGAATTTTTCTCCTTGCAAACCTGGATGCTCAGGTGATGTCATCCCTTTGTAGAGCAGTCGGCAAAAACTGCTGACTTGAGCTGCTGAGTAAGTAGCAAAGTAGTAGCGTGGTAACTCAGAAATGTGCCTGTGATTCATTTCGGAAGAACAGCCTGTGAAGTGCTTTGCTCCCTAAGAGACAAAGCAGAGATGAAGACTGAAGTATGGGGAGGATGAACTCGGGAATAAATTTTGCCTTTGAGGAGCCAAGTACAGTGTATTTGGGCAGGGAAAATGAGACTCCATCTGCTTTTCTTCCTGAGCATCTGCCTCTTGATTTGGAACAACTGTCTCTTGCAGGTTGAACGTACACTTGCCTACGCTTGCCTGTTCTTGGGGCTATTTGCAGCAAAGACTTCATCTGGCTTTTATCTCTGCAGTGCTGTCTCCTACGAGCTGGCTCAGTAGGAGCTGAGCAGCAGGCACAGGGATATTTCCTGTCACAGGCTTTGAAACCTTGGCTTACTACGTTGGGATTTTTGCTAAATGTTATGGATTCTGCTCTTAATCTGATCGCTTTACGCTGCAATAATTACGTCATAAGCAAAGGGAAACCCTGGTGTTCACTTGCTCGAGTTTTTATTTTTATTGTAGATGGACACATTACAAAAAGAGCTTAATACAGTCTAACCTAAGCCGCCACATACAAGTTTATGTGGTGAAGCTTTTCACTTAGATTGTGTGTCTTTCCTACAGTTAAAACTCTGGGTATACGAGAATAAATTATTATTGGGAAGTAAAGTTTTATTTCTTGCAATTTCCCTGGTTGTAAAATCAGCCCACACCGGGAACCTTTTATGTAGATGATTCTGCCTCCATTTGCATAATAGTCTAAAAGCATAAGAATTAATGTTGGCTTTAACGTGAAGTAAGGAGTTCTAAATAACTTTATTGGGTTATTCTTTTATGAAGAAGAGCTGATACAAAGTTTAGGAGAAAGGGAATTCACATCAAAGGCTCTTGATATATTACTGTTTGGTATAACCACATTTGAAATTAAACTGTGGAGATCTTTCTAATTCCCTCACTTCTCCCTGTGGAAAAAATTCAATCTGTGGAGTAGCACTAATGGCTTTATCTCGTGGTCTGGTGTGATGATAAATCATTTGTACTGCTCTTTGCCTCTCCTGGCTTGCTGAGAATGTCACCTACTGTTCTGGCTGGAGTGAAAACCAAGGCAACGATGGAAAAAGCCAGGAAATGCAGACATATGCCTTCAAAAGATAAATGAAATGTTCTGCCCTGTCCACCCCCAGCATTAGGTGGTAGTTTGGGTTGTAAGAACTTGCTGTATTAGATGTGATGCCTTGCACTGATTCCTGTTCCCCACTGCACGTTAATGTGCTGCTTTAGGACCAGACAAGGTACCAGCAGAACTCAGTGAATTCTCCTTTTGTTGTAGTTGCTGACTCTTTTTTCTTTTAAATGTTGAGTGGCTGAGGGATCTGGCAGTGTAAGGAGGCTGATTGTCCTCTGGTGTGGCATCCTTATAGTCACCAGTTACTGTTTGTTTTCACAGAGACCAAAGCCCTTGGCGAGCCTGCTCCTGAGGAAATGGATAATTCCACCTACAAGAACCTTCAGCACCACGAGTATCACACTTACACCTTTGCTGATTATATTACTGTTCTCTCAAAGTTCAGGCAGCCTCAGCCATCTTCTGGAAGACCATCACCAAGGCACTGAAAGAACCACATGTCAAGCAAATGCCCAGGCAGAATGATGAATTCTTCTATTTAGCACTGTTGTTTCATCTGTATAATTTAAATCAGATAATAAATAATAAATAAAAGCATAACAACTTGGGCTTTTGAGCAGTTCTTCCTGGTTCTTAGTCCCTCACTTCCTGACGTGCTCAAGGGAACGTGCCATGTTTTCCTTTGGTATTGTTGTTGAACAATTTGTTATTGCCGTTCTCCTTGCACACAAACATGTCCCCAGCCCTGGAGAGATTATGTTTACTCTGGATTTGAAGTTAAAATCATTGGCTGGGAGCAGCACAAGAAGTATTTGTCTCCTGTGGCAAGAGGGAATGTTTTGTGTTAGTTGGGGAATGCAGGTTTATGTAATGTGATTGAAACATCTCAAAACCTCCGCTGTCGTAAAGGGAGAACAGAACATACAACTTCATTTAATCATCTGCTGGGGGTTCCAGTATCCAGGTTCTGCAGTAATTGAAATAATTTAAAATGTAAGAGAATCTCAGTGGGCAGATCCTGATGAACTATACTGCATTGATTAAACTCTGAGGGGGAAAAAAATGTATTTCTATGGATAAAAACACTTCATCGTTATTTTTAAATGTGATGGAAATACCATTATGGTAAAATTAGCTCCTCGTACTAAGAGCTGGGACTGTGTTTCAGTTTCCACTTATTTTTTCCCACGCTGAAAGTTAAAATTGTTGTCCAGCCTCACTCTTGCTCTGCAGAAAATGTGCGAAATGAGGCATTTCTCAATGTATGTTATCAGCAGTTCCAGTTGGTCTCAGTAAATTCTGTATTTCCATCCTATTAGTAACAGTCTTCTGCCTTCTGGGAAAATTGCCTTGATGACCACCAGCTGTTGTGGGTTTAGTTCCATTTTGGCTTCTTGTTCATTCTGGGCTTTTTGGAGTTAATTGGTGTTTAAGCAGTTCTTGCAATAGCTCCAGCATTTCCCATCACCTGTCTGTATTCTTTCAAGCAACAGACTAGGCAAGATCAAAGGGTAAACAGAGTCGGCTTTAGGAGTCTATCTGGATATTGGATGTGAATCCCTGGGTGCAATTAGGGGAACAGATATTTTATACTCTTAACATGGCAAAAACGTGGTAAGGAGGATCAAGAGGCCTACATCAATCTGCTGTGTAGGACTTGAAGTCAGAAACCCCTGGCAAGCAATTTTATTGTCCCGTAAAAACCCAAAAGCATGTTACTGACTCCAGCTGAAATTTGGAAATCAGCTCATGTATAAAGCCACGTGCTGGGGAATAAAGAGCAGAAAGTCACTTGGAGACAGCGGTGGTACCACGTACGCTGTGCTTGTAAAAGGGGAGGGAAATTTGCTGTTGACATTAAAAACATGAAAGAATCGGGGTCTTCCTTTGCTGAGGGCCCCAGTGAAGCCGCTGTGTTGTGTTATTACCCGACACTCCACGTGGTAACCTGAGCCCCGCAGGTTGGAGCTCTGTCCTGAACTAGTCTGTGGTTAGGGAAGGAGGCTGCAAACTGTCAGAACCTGAACAGTGGATGTGAAATGTGTATTTACTCAGCCTGCCCCCGGTAGCTGTGACTCCTGGCACTTTGGAGTCAGAATTGCTTGCCATGTGCCCTCTTTACTTCCAAGGAGGGTTGTTGTTATAAACACTGACTGAATGCAGTCAGGAGAGAGTTGAAACAGCGTGTCTTGCTTTCAGTCAACTCCTACTCTCTCCTCAGCTGTGTTTTTAACTAAGGAGATTCTAATCTGTTTCTAGGCTGGGCATTTTGCTGCCCTTATTTCATGATCACAACAGAAACTAACCATGAATGCCTTTCCTATCCGTGCAATCCCATCTCTGTGTCTTCCAGGGATCTTTCTGCACCTCTAAAATGAAGCTGGAAGTCAAATAAACTTCACAACTCTTGGGGTGCCCATCTTAGGTTTGCTCAGTTCAGTGAACCATTCTGCTCTGGGAGGGGCAGATAATGCGAGGAAGGGCACTAAGATTTTTTTTTCCCCACTGTTGTGTTTTCCTGGACTTCAGTGAAAAAGGCTTAATTTTTTTAATTTTTTTTTTGTCCTTGGCCCTTATCAGATATTGCTGTGTTTGAGTCATGTCCTAACATTTCAAGCAGGGTGTGACACAAAATGCTCCAATTCTGTACCATTAGTGACTTTGTCTTGCTGTGCTGGGCACTTCTTAGATACAGTCAGGGACCTTCTTTGGAAGAATGTAGATTTCAGGATGTTAACATAATGCCTGGGAAACCACAGGTGTGAAAGAAATTAGGTCTCAGCTTATTTATTGTGAAAACCAACTTTTCAGAACCAGCACAAATTTCAGAAGCGAGGGTTTCAATGTAAATAGCGTTTAATGGGGGAGTACATGAAAATCTGGAGAGTGGAATTCAAAAGATGAAGCAGCCACTTTCCTTTTCAAAGGGAATGGTTTTTAAACTTTAGGTTCTTTGATTTATTTTTTTCTTTTTTAGGTGTAGGTAGGTGGTAATAAAATTGCTTTTCATAATTCCCTTCCACTTAAATCTTTTGAAGTAACTTAGAGCTCCAGAAGGTTCTGGACACCTGTTGAAAGTCCAAAGTCCAGAAGTTATAATGTAAACAGAGCTTGTGGTGATCACTTTAGTTTAGTTCAAGACTTTTTTGGTCCTTCTGGCGCTTCCTTTTGCCTCCAGTCATGATAAGAACTGAAATATATAAGGATCTCTTCAAAATTCCTTTTAAATTTGGGAAATTAGACTTTCAAGTGGGTGCACTTACAGATCTTCCACAGTATGTCCCCAACATTCAACAATCAAAACACATTCAATAAGCCCTAAAAACCTGCCCCATGTCTTTTCTCTCACCACATGAGGTGCCATCACCTAAGCTGCTTGCACTGCTTGTCTGCTCCAGTTTTAATACTGGGTGGGTCTGATCAGTGAGTGCAGTGTGTGAGCAGAAAGCATCCTCAGAGCGTCCTGTAGCATCATAACATCAGAATTCTGCAAATTGAGGTTGGAAGGGAAGTCCTGAGATGATCTCTGACAGGTGCAATTAGATCAGGTTGTCCTGCACCTTGACCAGTTGAGTTTTGAATGCCTTCAAGGATGGAGGTCACACAGTATCTCTGGTCACCTCCTCCAGCATTTGGACCACTCTCGAGACTTCAAAGACAACCCAGAAAACAAAAACCTTTACCTGTTACCTAACTGGAATTTTTGTTTTTATGATCCTTACTACACGCCTCTTGACAAGCCTGGCTTTTTCTTTTCTAAACCCTCCAAGGAGGTAGTTAAAGGTAGCACTAAGGTCCCCCTTACTCTCCTCTTCAGACCAGGTAACTCCTGTTCCTTCAGGCTCATCTTATGAAACAAATTCCAGGCCCATTTATGTGGTCATGGTGCACCTTCAGCCTGTCCTACTCTGTTCTGTAGCAACACAGGTTGCTAAGTGGTCTCTGATCTCCCTAGAGCTCCCCAGAGCTTATACTTCAAGGTATAACATGCTAGAAGGGCACTTATTATTAATTTTCCTAATTTTTAGTGTGGAGTCTTCCACACTAAAGTGTTTGGGAAGAAACCTGGGAGACTCCTGCTCCTCGAGTTGCTCTGCAGCAACAGTATTGCAGGGGCAGGTTCAGGTCCCCTCTGCTGTAAAAACAAACAAAAAAATCTTGGAATCATTCTTGGCCCGAGTGTTTGCCATCTGCCTGGGATTTACAGCCCTCCTGTGCTATTCCAGATTGGTTTCTTTGCTGCTGTTTGCACACAGAGTTAGGCACGAGGAGCTAAAACAAGGATTAGTGCAGGTCCTTTGAGCGTCTGAGTGATCGACTTCACAACCAGGGCATTCTCCCGCTGCAGCTTTGTTTGTTTATTTGTTTTAATTTTATCCTTTCAAGAGAAACCCCTCTAAACTCTGGGTAATATTAATTAAACTCTGGACTCTAAACAAAATATCCCGTCAGGTTTCCAGATCGTCCTTCTCCTCTCAAGTGGTTTTACTTCATGGAATTGTAAAGACTTGTTGTCTTTTCTATGATTCCATGGTTTTGGTGCTTATATATATTATCCTTAGTGTTCAGCTCAGGATGCTACCACTTCTAATACAAGCTACACATATTTTTGAGCTCCTTTTTCTTTTTGTTTTGCCTACACACATTCAATTACACTTGGAAATTCATACCCCCCTCTGGAAGCCTCAGGATATGTGGCAGCTTTGGGATAGAAAAGAAGACTGCATTAATGAAAAATTAGGGACATAAATATGTGTGTTTATAATAAAATATCCCCAAAACTTTGGCTCAGTGTATAGAGTCGGTGGGTCAACTCTCAGAATTTATTTTGGTCTCCCCTGCACTCCCAACAAACGTTTAACTGAGAAATAGATGAGCAGGAGCATGGTTCAGTAAATCTGCAGCATCACAGAGTACAGCCTACAGGCATGTTAACTTCTAATACTCACAGAACCTGTACTATGTGTTTTAGTTAAAATTAGTGCCTAAAATTCTTAGTTGTCTTTGTTACTCCAGTCTGAAATGTGGTTAAATGGCAGTGTCCCTTTCCAAATCGGAGATATCAAGCCTGGATAGACAGTTCCTAGTGCAGTTAACACACAGCAAGGTAAAAAAATGAGCTAATTAAGGCTATTTATGCTTTTTTTTGTTGTTGGTTGAGTTTGTGATTGGTTTTCTGTTTCTGTCTCATCTCTCTCCATGGTTTTGAGATGCTCTTGGCATTCCACTTGGCTGTTTGTGCAGTGGAGGGTACACTTGGTTACTAAAATCTGTGACAGCATCTGTCTAGCACAGGAGAGGGAATGTGCAAACCACAACACACCTTGTGCCTGGCAAATGCTTGTGTCCTGTCTCAAAGAAGGGGGCAGGAGTTATTTTTCCCTGGAGGCTTGGAAAGGGACTTGAGAGAGCCACTGCTTCATGCTTTCTTTGCTCATTTCCATGCCTTCCTTTTCCGAAAAGCATCTCCTATGCTTTTTTTTTTTTTTTTTTTGGTTTAAAATCATGTCAGACAAGGCCATCCTGAACTGTATGGATGTTTCCCAAACTCTCCTGGGGTATTCCTTAAAGTGACCTGTATCCTATTGTTTGAGGGCTGGGAA